CTCTCTCTCTCTCTCTCTCTCTCTCTCTCTCTCTCTCTCTCTCTCTCAGCAGTACAGAGGGCAGTATAGTCGTCCCCTACTACCCTGCTTGACCAGTGTTAGAGTTCCCTACCAAATGAAACTTTCTCTCTCTGCAGAGTCATGGGTCACATTTGGCCCGATGGTTTTCATCTGTTGAGTAAGCCATGTGTCAGTCTGGCAACCTGAATTACTAATTCATCATAGATGGTATTCCCAGAGGTTGACAGGGGACAAGCAGCTGGAGGAGAACATGGTCTGGGGGATGAGGCCAGCATGGCTGGTACTGACATGCAAATTTGACCGTCCCTTGTGCTGGGTAGTTGAAGGAGGATCCAGTTAATGCCACATCTCTGTACTTTCCCTCATCAAGAGAAAATGTTAAGGGTACCATGTATAGGATGCTGGGGTCTCTGTGGCATGGGGCACATGATTTGACAGACTATAGCAGTGACTCAGAAGGTTTAATAGTCAGCCAAAATCACTGTCATGCCTGGATAGCCACCTGAAGCAGCCCGAGCCCATCAAAAAATTTGCAGAACTGAGTTTGTTCAGGACAGCCATCCTGATGTTAGCAATGCTTGGCGCTTGGTTCTTTCCTTTTAACCTTTAGCAAAGAATGGACTCTCACTTTCTCCTCCCACTCACCTTACAGCCCCCATCCCCTGAGGGCAGTGGGAGGAGAGGATGAGGCACCACACTCCATTCTCCTCAAGGGAGAATTCTATGCTGGGACCAGAAAGGGGGCCCCAGCTGCCAACATCAGCATGGAGACCAGGGCAGGGCAGGGCAGGGCTGGAGCCCCAGGGAAGTTTCTCATCATTACTGAGATTCAGCTGATGAGAAAATCACACACTTCTAAACGAGTGCTGAGCATGACAGCTGCTCACTTGTGGAGCACAGGGCCTCAGAACTGTAAAAAACACAGCCTAGGCATGCCACCAAGCTGTGCCTAGACCCCACACAGCAGTAACAGACTGAGCCAGAGACCTGACCATTTGCCTTCTAATAAGAACTTCCAGGCACCTCAGTACCTAAGAAAACCTTCTTCCAGTGTCAGGAAGTAGGTTTGCTGAGGATGTATACAATGTCTCTGGTTGTCTGAGGCAAAGGACCCTTGTTTTCAGAAAGTGTCTCTTTTCTCCATTTGACTGGCACGTCTGACCTTGTGTACTGTTGCTCTCAAGCTTAGCCAGTTCTAAGATTAACTCTGAGGGAATTAGAGTCATGTCATAGTGACGTCAGCCAGATAAATAAAGAGGAAAGAAAGACCCTTCCTAACCCTTTCCTGGGATGTTTGTGTCTTGTCAGTGAGACTATGGCTGTGATTCCTGATTCTAAATCGTGAGACTAAAGTGGCCCTGAGACCAGTGTACAAAATGGGGAAACTGAGGCTTTGGGATCACTGGCTTTCCAGCAGGAACACATACCATGGAGATGTTCGTTCCTATTTGAGCTAAAGGGAATAGACCTTCTTTCCCAAAATTTAGACAGGACTGGAAAAGTGGGACCTCTCCATAGAAGACACTGCTTGGGATTATGTTTTCTTCTCTTCTGTGGACTCTACAACATGTTTGAGGAATTTCTGTAGAACTATTGGCCTTGGAGTGTGACAGAGAGAGAATCAAATAGAAAAGTGGAGATAGCCTCTTGGTTACTTTCTCTTGTATTTTGAGTAATCTTCTGATGGTGGTTTCTCAGTCCTAAGAAAGGAAAGGCAGCCGTCTGTGGCTGAGAACTAGTTATTAACCTCATGGAATCCAAGTAGTGCATTGAATGGTAGCATTTGTCAATGGAGCCATTGACACATCAGGGCAATTATTGGTTAAGTGTGACCACCCTACTCACACAGGAAGTCCAGTGTCCCTGCCTTACCTACTAAATGCCAGAGGTCATGGTGGCAACTGAGTTTGCCTCTGTGTGTAAATGATTCTTCCAGTTAAGAATTCCCTCGGCAATCATCAATAAAGGTCATTCTTCTTTCTGTTGCAGCATCTATGACACAGCCACAGAACTGGGACTTTAGAAGCTCCAGTCTTTGTCCTATGAGTATCGCTATATCAGACTCAGTGCTTCCATTGAGGGGGATCTCAGTGTTGTGATCCTGCCAGGTGTCACCCTCTGCCTTCTGTGACTGGAATTTCACTGCAAATGACCTGCAGGAAAGGAAAAACACAAAGAGTGAAGGAGGGAGAGAGGGTATCAGGACATGGCAACTTTCTCCTCAGCCAAATGCTGTAGAGAGCACAGGCAGACTGACTGACTGCTGGGGAGTTCCCAGGCTAAGGAAAATCCTCCCCTTCCTGTTGAAGGGATTATCCTTTGGTAATATGAGGTGTCCTCCCTAAAGCAGGAAGCCTCATTCCCTCACCCCTGGCACTGACAGCACTTGATTCAGCATGAGCACATGTTGATATCAAATTAATACAACTAGCCAAGTTGTGGAGGTAAATTTCAGTAATTCATTTGAATCCAAAGTAATTCAAAGAATAAACTAGCAATGCTGCATGGAAGGGGTGTTGCCCAAGGTACCAGTGACTATTCTCAAATAGAACAGCTCATGTTATCCTCACCTCTGACCCAAGGCGTTATCATGGGACCAAAAAAAAAAGGATAAAAAATAATATTTTTGTAGAATCTATTGGAATGCACATTTTCTATTTATCCCCAACTTAGGAGAAATAGAAGACAAACTTAATGTAGGGTGCATAGATTTCAGAGTCCATTCTTAATAAGATCAAGAAAAAAAGGAGAAGAACCAGGAAGGAGATGGGTGGCTCAGATGATAAAGTGTGTCCTGTGCAAGCATGAAGATCTAAGTTCAAATCTCAAGCTCCCATCTAAAAAGCCAGGGGTGGGGACATGAACCTGGAATTCTAGCACCAGGGAGGCAGAGACAGGAGGTTCCTTGGAACTTGCTAGCTGGTTTAGTCTAGCCAAAAAAGTGACCTCCAAGTTCAGTGAGACACCATTTCAAAAAAAAAAAAAAAAGGTAAAGAAGGAAGAGGAAAATTCCCAACATTACACATGTATAACCACCTGTGTGTGTGCTCATACATGTGTACACACACACACACACACAGACACAGTGTGGGGAGCAGTAGGGGAGATTTAAAGGGATTACAAATGAGACTGATTTGTTGACAAAATCTGTCAGGTAGGGCTGGCTATAATGCTTTCTGAATTGCCCAAGACTTTGGCAAACCTTTTGCACGTGCAGCAAGTCTTTTTATTGGTAGGGGTGTGAGTCAGAGTTAGACAGTCAGGGCTTCCGTGAAAACTCATCAGTAATCTAGCAGCTTGAGAAGCCCTGGCTCGGCCTGGGTGGCTTTTGCAGGTGGAATCCTGATGAGTGGCTGAGTCTGGCTATGAAGTTGACTGGAATGTGCAGCCTAAGTTTGGCACAGAAGCTATCCCATGCTGTGCAGTTACAACCCACGGATACTGGAATAGTTTCCAAGTAACCACAAGGTATTTGCTCTCTTGGACGATATCATAGGAACACATAGTCGCTGCTTACTCCTAAGTCATTGAGAGGGGAGAGAATATTAATGCATGGCCACGGATGGTTTTGCCTGTGTCCTTTGGCTGTTCCTTTCATAGTAAAGGTTGGCATTCTACGTGCTGTTCCTAAGAAAGCTCGGAGACAACAGTCCCTCCTGGTGGAGGCAACAACTCAGCCATTGCCCACGTTAGAGAAGGAGAAAGTGTCGCATCAGTCCTGTGGTTTATAGCCAGCTCTGTGGTTTACAACCATCATTACTCATGATGGTGACTTGCAGCTCTTCCCTATTCAGTCTGGTGAAATGATACCCCATTTTTGGATCTGAGTAGACCTGGGTGAGAGGTCAGCAGACAGAGGTACTGCCTCATCATTATGAATAACCATGTTTTAAGTCCTCTGTGGCAAGTGGAAGTTGCCAGGAGAGATAGGTTCCCTCTGCAT